CCCCCGCCACCTCCGCCCGGGTCCGCACGGCCCCGTCCCCCCCCCTTCCCTCCCCCCTCCCCGAGGGCACGAGCGCGGCCCTGATTTGCTTCGCGCCCCTCGAGAGTGGAGGTGGCGGCGCCCGCCCAGGACTTCGCTGGGGCTGCGCTTGCTAGTGGGGCCGGGCGTGTCGGCCTCTTCCCGCGGGCTGGGAGCGAGGTGGTGGCACGGGCAAAGGCAGGGCTGAGCCGAGGAAGGGCTCGCTTTCTGTGATCCTCTCAACAGCTTGGTTTTCAGGGTCCTGTCAAGCCAAGGGCTGCCCGCGGTGTAGAGAGGGAGGTCTGTGTGAGGGTAAACGTTTCTTCCCTTCCCTTAGGCTCTGATGCTTGGTGGGGTTGTTTGGGCAGGAGCCTTGGCCTATAGAGGTTCAAAAGGAGGCCCCCCCCCCTCCCCCCCCGGATTCCTCCTGTGAACTGCATCTCCCAGCACTGGCCCTGGCTTATCTGTACCCACAGATAAGTGTCCAAAAGCTTGTGATTTAAACTTTTTTTTTGGTGCAAAAATCTAGTTGGTTTAATAAAAGATATTGCCTCTACCATGAGTTCTGATAAGTCATTATAGCGCTTACAGCAGATCTTGCAAGTGCTTGTGTCTGCTCGGTGAACTCATGGAGCTCCCCTGCTCCGAGACAGTGTTCCTGCAGTGCCGCTGCCTCCCTCCCTACTGTGGAAATGTAGCCACTGGAGATCTGAGCAGCTGCTGTGAAGGGGGGATACTCAACCTGGGGCCTCCTTGCTGTTGCAGTACAACAGGTTTTGGGGAGAATGCAGCTTGGGTCCTTTTGGTCAAATTTGGATGGGATTTCAGCACTGCTAACAAATTCTCTGTATCCTTAAATTGTGGCCCAGCCTATGCAACCCTTTTCCACTTCCTTGTTAAGAATGTAGTTTTTAAAATTTAGATTTGGAAACAAATTTACCAGCAAAAAGCAGTTTTTAGGCACCCTATCTAAAAGGTCTATTCTTCCCCTGAAATCTGCCTGCTTTATGGTATAGGGAGGTTGAGGATTATTTGATGGATGACTTCAGCTGGGCAAGTACGATGGAGCAAATACTATATCAAAGAGATTGGCCATTGGAGGTTTTGTGGGGCAGCATACTACTGGGTTAGATTTGGGGATGAGAGCTAGAGACTTCCAAATCTTTTCTTTGGCTTTCGGTAGGATGCTTAACTCTTCAACCATTCAGTTTTCCCACATGGGATATAACTTTTTACATGCCATTCTGTTGTGGGCTGATCAGGTTTCATTAATATTTGTCAACTGCTCTGTAGATGAGAAATCCTAAACAAAGCTAGTTTACTCCTAACACACACATTCTGAGCTCCTGAAATGAGCAATGCTGGAACAAGGAATCTGCTGGGATACAGCAGTCTTGTCTTGAAACTTGGCATGAACTTTTTTTCTTCCATGTTTTTGGTTCATGAAAATTTCACTTCTAAAGCAGCTGGTCAAGAAAATTCCATCCCTCCCAAAAGCAAAATGAAATCATGAATGGGTTTGTGATTGTTTGTTTGAAATAAAGCTCAAGATTCACCAAAGGTTTGCAAGCCTTGCCTCAGTTTCAAGTTTGTTGTGAAGCCTGAAGTCACAATTTCCTAACAAACGTACTGCTGAGTAGGGCTAAATATGCCCATCCTGCTGGTGGCGAGTTGCTCCTTGAAGTGTGTTAAAATAAGCATTTAACTTGTTATAACATGTCCTTTAACCATTGCCATGACCTTATTCCCATTCAGGACAGAGAGTGAATCCCAGTTAAGGGGATGAATTCCAAAGAGCTGGAGATGGCTTAGTCTTTTGCAGAACAGTGATACAGATAATAAGGAATGTATAATTTTTTTTTTATTATTCCTGTCTCAGGCCAAATTAGCCAAATCAGTTCTGAATTCCATTGACTGAGCTGAGAACTCAGTCATTCAAGTTTGTGTGGTGCTACCACCCACAAGTATCCTCCTTCCCAATCTGGGGCTTCAGATGCTCCCAGATCCATGGCAGGCTTCCTACGTGCAGGCCCGAAACCCAGAGGTCTTGGAGTTCAGATGCCCCCAAATCTTGCTTACCCTTAGCTCAAAGGCCAATGTATAATTTTATTCTGAATGAATAAAGGGATTGGGGAAGTTTTGGCATTTACCTGTAAGCTGATAGGGTCAGCGTGCTCTTCCCTCTGCAGTGTATGGAATTCTATCTGCAGAGTGATTCAGTGGATCTGCCTCACTGCCAGCTAGGATTTTTTCAGCCAGCTGACTAATGTGAGTTAGATTAGACTTTACAATGAGATAACAACTGTAAATTTAAGCCAATAATTTATGTCTATATAATTCCTATTTTCAAGGGGAGGAAAGCAAAGGGGTTTTGCAGAACACTGAAAAAGTCACTCTTGCAATGGAATAAGTGTGTCCACATGAGTGACTGTAAATCATAAGAAGTGTGGGGTTGGAAGGAGTCTTACGAGATCATCTAGTATAGTCTGTCTTGCCTCAGATCAGGAGGATCAAATATACCTGAAGTATCCCTGATAAATGTTTTCTAACCTAGTCTTAAAATCTTCAAATGATGGTGAGTTTTATCATCTTTCTAGGTAGCCTATTCTACTGCTTAACTCTTCTTACAATTTAGAAAGTTGTTCCTAATACCTAGTAGAAATGTTTGCTTGTAAGATAAGCTAATTACTATTTGTCTTACCCTCAGTGGACATGGACCACCATTGATCATTGTCTTTTATAACAACCTTTTTCATATTCGAAGACTGTTATCCTGTCCCCCTGTCTTCTCTCTTCAAGCAAAAACCAGCCCTTTCAACCTTTCTCCACAGATCATGTTTTTCAAACCTCCTTTCATTTTTTTTGTCACGCTTCTTTAGACTCCAATGTCTGTCTTCATTTTTAAAGTGTGGTGCCAAAATCTGGATGCAGTATTCCAGCTGAGGTCTCACTTGTCCTACATGGATAGAATTGTTACCAGGGGTCTACCCAACTTGGGGAGACAGCTGGCCAATTATGTGGGCAGATTGCAGGGCCAACTGCCATTTTCATGGCCCTATCATGGTGGCCCTCCTGCCATGCCTCTGGTTAAAGGCCCCCAGAGACCCCAACTGCCACTGCTGATTGATGAAGGCTGTCATAGCGTCCTGCCCCTTGCTGCTGATTCGCTGAGAGGACTGTCCATAATGTGGTCCTACCCCTCACTGGTGATTGGTGGAGGGGGCCAGGCTGCACAACAGGCAGCCCTCTCAGCCAATCGGTGGCGGGGGGCAACAGCTATCTTTGCCTGCTCATCTTCATGCTGGCAGCCTCCTTTGTGCTGGGCTGCATGGCTGGGAGGACAGCTGGCTCCTACTGTGCATTTTATTTTTAGTAAGTCTCCCCCCTCCCCTCCGTGATGGATTTTGTGGAGATTGCCTGATTTCGCCATTTCCATGAAATCTGTGAAATCATGATTTCAGCAGGTCCCTAATCATATTTCACTTTCTAAAATGTATTAAAAGGAATGTTGTATGCAAAGAGCTTTGGTTCTCGCACCAATATCACATTGCTGACTCATTTAAGTTTTAGTCTACCAGAATGCCCAGATTTTCTTCTTCACTACTGCTACTTAGCTTTGTAAATTTGATTCTTTTCTCTTTCCTAGGTATAGTCCTTTGCATTTGTCTTCATTACGCTTTACATTATTGATCTTGGACCATTGTTTCAATTTATTGGGATCATTTGAACTCAACCTGCTCTCCAGAGTGCCTGTGCCTCTGAGGTTAGTGTCATCCACAGGTTTTATCAGTGTGCTTTCTACTCCACCATGATGGGTGTTAATAAAAATTAATAGAAACAGATTCTGGGCCAACTCCTATGGAACTGCGTTTGAAGAATTCTCCCTGTTTGAGTGAATTGTTGATAACTAGTCTGAGAAGTGTTTGTATTGGCGTTGCTTTGTGGTGATTCCATATTTCCCTTTTTGCTTATAAGCGTAATGTGGGGCACTGTCAGAAGTCTTGGAAAGTTGTACCTAGTGGTATATTGGTAGACGGGCAACACTTTCCCTTGTAGGTATAACCTCCTAATCTCCCTTTTGAGATGTGGTTGGGTTAGAGGACACTGGCGTTTTTAAAGGCAAACCACAATCAGGATTTATATCTTGAAGATGTGGCTGCTTCCTGAGCCCCACCATGAAATCCCCACCTGGGTTGGTCTCTGGTGCAGATCATTTTCCATAGGCAGTGAGTGTACATGAGCCACTTCAGTGCTCTTTCCTCTACCACCTCCCTTGGGGGAGTGTCTACTGTTGTTGCTGCTCCCTCAGAAGATTCACGCTTTGCTATTCTCTACCAAATTAGTTTACTCTGAGAGCCTTTATTTTGTTTCTGGGGTCCACCCCGATTTGCCCCAGCCAGATCTATAAACATGGGGTTATCCTGGCTGAAGAGAAATTAGCTGACATTTCACTGTTCCTTAACCTGATATTCAATCCTCAGAGTCACTTGTAGCCCTCTCTGTAGGTCATTTAAGCAACAGATGTACCCAGTGGCAGCATATGTGCTCTGGCTTCTGTTTCCAGCTACCACACAGTAGGGCTGTGTGAAACTTCGTCGGCAGTTTAATTTTGACACTGTTTCGACTCGTTTTGAGCTCGAAAGAGCAAAATCTAAACAAAACAGAGAGCTTTGAAACAGCCTCTAAATGAAACCAGGCAAGTCAAAATGTTTCAAAATTTTTTAAATGTTTCAAGTTTCAAAGCTCAAGCTGGGCTTGCCTGCAAGGAAACAGAAACTAAAGGAAGGAGAGGGAGGGGAAGGACTGCTCTCATTATTGACTGTAGCTGGCCAGTGACTGTTGTCTTTCCCTGAGGTCCCTTCCAATCCCAGTGCTCTGGGGGAGGGGTGGAAAAACTGCATAAAAGGCAGCATTGTTTGAACTGCCCTGCTTTCTGCCTTGGTGTCAGTTGAGTGAGGGCACACCTTAACACACACACAGTGTCATCCACCCATGTCATGAGTTTTGCCTGTCAGCAGCCAGAGGTGCAGGGTCGCAGAACGCAGGCGCCCCTGTACCTATCTCCTTGAAAGCTGGCAGGCTTTGTGGCTTCAGCAGGGGCTAGCATGCCTACAGTTTTCAGCCTGCTACACCTTAATACACACACAGTGTCACCCATGTCACGAGTTTTCCTTGTCCGCAGCTTGAGGTACAGTTTCCCCTAAACTCCTGCACCTGTCTCCTTGAAACTTGGCAGGCTTCATGCCCTTAGAAGGGGCTACAATTCCTGCAAGTTTCATCCAAATCAGGCCAGAAATGACAAAGTTTTATAAGCTGTTTCAAGCTTCCCCATTATAGCCTATGGGTGAAACTTCGAAACAGCATCGAAACAGTGAAACTATTTTGATGAAACGAAACAGAACAGCAGTTTTGAATTGAAACGAAACACTGTTTTGTTGAAACGGAAATCGAAATGGAATGGCGCTGTTTTGTACAGCCCTACCGCACAGTAAGGGTTGGGGAGGAGAATGTAAATGAGATGAGTGAGCCCCAAGCTACTTTCCTGGCTTTGAGCCAGCGTCTTCCTTAGAATTCATGACAGTATTCATGCTTCAGGTACGGTGTTAACTTTCAAATGGGGTGGAAGGGTAAAAAAAGTTTAAACAGACCCTTGGGTGATTCCAACCAATGTGAGAAGCTTATTGATTAATTGACAAAGCAGAATTACTGCAAGATTAGTGCTGAGGATAAGCATAATCTTATGGGACAGGTCTGGACTGCTGTGAAGCAAAGCTGGCCAGGCTCACAGCCTCAACAGCAGGGGCTTTCTCTAGGTGGTACTGCAGGCAAATGCTCCAGCAGGCACCACACAGAAGTACCCAAATAGTGTTGTTCTGCCACGCCCCCTTCCCCCCCCCCCCATACCTGTCTGGTAAAAATAATCTTCTAATAAATGATCCCCAATTGGTTTTATTTGTTTTTTTGTTTCACTGAAACTTCCAGATTCAGATTAAACTAGATTTCGTATTGGCCAAGAAGGTGCCAGTTAGTTCAAACATAACTTTGAGAGAGTAATAGGGCAATAGGGAGGGCTTCTTATTTCCTTTCTTCCCATGGCAGAATGTTGTTCCAGCTCTAGCTAAGAAGTTTGCCTTGTTCTTACTGATTGTGTCCAATTAGACAGATGGACAGTTTTCTCCGTTCTGCTGACCAAGCCAGCCACAACATCTGCAAACCCCCACATGGTACATCACTCAAGGACAGACTTCAGGCCTGCTGTTGCCCCTTTGCCATAGGACTTTTGAAAATGACTGTGTGGTAGCATTGTATCCATTGCTCATGTCTTGGGCCTATGTATGACCTACAGCCAGAATTTATTCTTTGATAATGTGCTTGCTCTTCACAGTGTGAGTGTGTTTACAAGCTTAAAGAACCATTCACTCTAGGCTGGTCAGTGTATGAGCTGCACTCTGACACCAGACCTTTTTTTGCTTGGTATTGAAGTAGACCATCTGCATGTGCATACCTGTAGAATTCTGCTCCTGTGCACTGTGTTCATTTACACCTCACCAAGTGAGACAGGCTTATTTTGTGGAAACTGATGAACATAGGTAGAATACAGTAAGTTGTTTTGCTATTGTGATTCCAAAATTTTGCTTACAGTCCCGTCTATACAAAACTTCCCTGTCTTGTTGCCCTGAATTCAGAGGTTTATCAGTTTCTGAAGTGCTGTTTCAAGTGCTCTATGTTCTTTCTTTGGTAACAGCACGCTTCATCTGTCCTGTCATTTTTATTGTAGCTATGTAGG